AGTGGCATGATATTTTTAATTTTTCATAAGCTTTCACTGGATGATCATGTAACGCGTTAAAAGAGCACTCAAATTTTCATCTCCATTTTTTTTATAATTTATATTTTTTCACACCTATTTAAATTTTTCTTTCTCTTTTTCAACCTTTTCCAAGCTATAATTTTCATTTCATAACCCTTGCCCTTTTTGTGTGTCATTTAATACTGATTCAACTTCAAATGAACATAATAGCAAGCGAAAAAAATCGCACCCGAATCATATATATTATTATATTCATATCTGATTGAAAGGTTTAATTACCCAAGTTTGAGATTGAGGTAATTGTGGGCGGAAGATTGTGTCTGTTCTTGGACAAAACACAATATTTTGAAGCAGGAAAAGACTCACAACACGTACTTAGCAGTCATTGCCCTACGTTCAGATTAAATACACCCTCGTAGAAAATCCAACCGTCGAAAGCGTACTAGCAGCTCAGAAAGCGCTCCTGTGTAGCAAAATAGAAAAGAAGACTCAACATGCAAAGCTATACAAAATGCGTAAAAATAAGCTAGCCTCGATGTCAAACACATCAGTGTGGCTACGGTTTGGAAATATTACCCCACAGGATGGGAGCGCGATACTTTCACCTTCAAGACAGAAATATGTTTGGAGCTGAGAAAGGTATGTGCCAACATTGTAGGCAATGTGTGAAGGCGGTGGACCACTTAACAACGCAGTGTGAGAAAATGTTATAACACGACTATACTAGAAGACACAATGAGGTCCTGCGATGTATTCATTCAGGACTCTGCAAGAGGTGTGGTCTGAAATCATTTTCGCGCATGCGAAGCCATTCTGTTCAGGAGGTAGTCGGGAATGAGAACGTTGAGATCAGAGTCGATGTGTGAATAAGAATTGCAAGTAGAATAAGAGCAAATCGAACGGACATCCTGGTATACGGATAAGAAGCGACACGAAGTACTCTTGATATAGGTTGGCATCACTGGTCAGGACAAGTTGATAGCAGTCGAGACCCAGAAGAAGCGAAAGTACAATTTACTGGCTAATAAACTCGGGGCAGAGTTGAATTTGTAGGACGAAATTAATTCCGTGTGATGACTTAGGATAGGATAGTGACGAACTTTCACAATCGTTATGCGAAAGAAATCAATATGTGTGATCACGTTATATATGCAATCGATAGTACTGAAGAAAACGCTGGAAATCATCTCATTCTATTCGCGCCATGGACGAGAACGAAGCAGCAGAGATGAGGGCAGCAGAACTGAGCGCGAGGCGAGTGCAACGAGAATTCCAGAATAGATTACGATCCAGCGCCAGAATCAGTAATGAAGAAAAGAAGAACAACCGCGTGTGATATTGATTTGTTTTTTTAAATTATATATATATACTTATGTATATTATTTCAAATATACAAACTCAAAAAACAAATGCTTACATTGTAATGAAAAAATACAAGAAAATATTGCTCAACAATGAATACTAACAAAAATTATAAATAACTTTATACCATTTAAAATTTGATCCATTTTGTCGTTTGCTTCTGCGCTACACATCCACTATGGCTCGTCATACAACTCTTTTCAACTTTTTTCTTCTCAACACCAAAGACGTTGAGTCCCTTGCGTTTTTCTTCATCCATCGCAAAGCCTATAATGTATTGTCAAATATTCAGGAACAAAATCTATAAATTTCGAACAAAAGTAATGAATGATCATCTAGCATCAGAAACATTTTCTAACCCATAAATTAATATAAAAAATAGTGGAAAATCGAATACCTGGAGGAAAGTATAGCTGCGTGGCGTCCCTGCGAAGTGTTCTCAGTACTTTTGCTTCAAGGCTCGTTTGCGTAGAACGCGTTCGTCGCTACAAGGACATCGCTCAATTTGATGAACTTTCATTAAGGACTGTAACAGTATATAATAAAAAACTTAAAATGCAAATATTCATCTTCAGAGTCTAACATATAATCACATACAAAAATACCTGTGCAGTAGGAAACGAGCAATTTCGTAGCAGCTTGATGTAAAAGCGGCAACGATGGCAGTATCCTAAAAGAGTAGAAGATTGCAATGTATTTGCTGGTCAAAAATTATTTCGAGAATGCATACCACAAATAGACAGCAACTAATGAAATGAATAATTCATTGGTAAGAGTAACAAAGAAAATGGCATCAAAAAGTTTTACCATCGAGCGCGTGTGCACCCGTCTTGACCACCTGCAGCTCCAATACCCGAATTGATGCGAACGCTTCAGTGCGCATCAACGGGCATCTCGCGAGATTGCAGTCTGAAAATAAGTAGTATTGTACAAGCGGATGATAATAAAAGTTCTTTTCCACAAATGTTAGTTATATTTTAATCTTATAATCACAACTGAAATAAATTTACAAACAAGTCTATTTCGCACCACATATGGAGCTGGGGGCGCTCGTAGCTCCTTCCTTCTCTAACCTTGAGTAATTTCCAAGGTTTGCCGCCTCAAAACTTGGGATTGAGTGCCTCACCGGACTTGGGTCAATTCGTAAACAACTTGGCCCTCGCCTGCGCCTGAAGTAATAATTTTGTGAACAAATTCCTGATGAATGCAAGGAAAACAAATATTAAGCAAGTGATAAATAAATATCATATAATAAAAAACACTTAAAAATTCACACGGTAGCCCGAAATCAACTAGATTACGCACGACGTTTCCTCCAACGACACCCCACCATCATTTCATCTTCAAATAAGAAATAAATTATACATAAATTTTGTGTAATGAATTAACATGCTTCTTACCAAAAAATGTGTTTTAAAATATAAGATATATTTCAAAAATCTGTACCCTGGGGACTGCCGTCGCACGCGAGTCACCGTTGATGTCTATCGATTTCATCAGTGACGGCGAAAAAATCGTCTGTGTATCCATTTCTCGGATTTGTGCCTGAAAATAACATTAAAGAATGTAAAAAAGTACCGCCTGCTTTCACCAATATATTTCACGTCAAAAACCATATAGAAATGATAACATTTATTAATTTAAATGTGCTAGATAAATTTACCACTTGTTGAAGTGAGGCAACCCGTTTCGAGCTGGGGGTCGCGAGTATTATCTGCAACCCACTCAGTCCAGATCTGTCCTGCAAAATTTACTCATTTAAGGTTGCAAATCTAAGCAACTATGACCTCTTGTAATTGATAAATTGGTAAAACTCAATGCATGAGTTTACATTTTTACAGTCATATTTGAATGGTACATACCCAGCTGCTCGCTTGACTCAGGCAGTGGTGTGGCAGCTGCGAGGGCCCAAACTGAATCAAAAAATTTGTTTGATAATGAAATTTTTAAAAAGCCAAAGTGAATAAAAATTTTCTTTTATTAGCAAATTTGGTTGAAACAAAGAAATTGTTTAATTGGGTATGCGCCTGTCATATACTGGAATTCTTATCACTTCACTTCGATACCAAATATTGATAAAATACTTTGTGCTAATTATCAATTAGATAGTTAACAATTTCCGATTTTTCTTTCATTATTCTATAGTTGCTGTTCAAAAGTATAAAATTCAACTCACCTGCTTGCACTGCCCCGTCACTACGAGGGCGAAGTAATTCCTGATGCACACCATCTTGAGCAGCGTGCCATCAGTGCACAAGAACTGTTTTTGGGCCAAGCACAGCCTCTGTGCTTGGCCCAAAAACAGTTCTTGTGCGGCTTTCCGCGTCATGTAAAATGAAACGGACGGTTGCCGCATGGCACGGTTGCCGCATGGCACGCTGTCTCGAGGTGTGTACGGCAGTATGGACCAGTCTGGACTGATTCCACTGCAAAATAAAATGTTTTAAAATTGTTATTGCACACAGCACAGAGAAAAAATTCAATTTAAAATCATTTGCCCGAAATATAGACACTTGAAAAGAAATCTTACTATAAAAGTTCAGGCCACGTTCAGCGTTATCATATTTTCTTAGGGACTCCCAACAGTCCCTTAATGTGGTCGTGGCCACAGTCTGGAGCATGCCAGCTTCCAAGCCCAACATCGAACAAATTGATGCCCTCGTGCAGAACTGTGTTCACTCCCAGTCCTGCAGCTGAGCAGTAAGCTCGGATCTTCTCTGAAACTCAGTCATTTATAAAACTTTGAGCTATTACAGCATTGAAATTTCTCATTATCTTCCTTGACAAGGAAACTACTCACACATAATTAAAAATTAGTTCTTACCGATTATTACGCTGAAGACAGCGCACAGAGCCATCGCTTCATGGAACATTTCGCGACCAATCTGAAAATTTGTTTTATTACAACAAGAAGAAGTATAAAAAGCAAATGAATTACTACTAATAATTTTGCAAACCAAAATTCTATAACATCGCCACTCATTAAAATAGAATCTGGAAGTTGATTCCATTTCAAAGTTTTTTAATATTATTTTTTCTTCAGTATTTTCAACAACTTTTTGATCTAAGTATATTTTGCATGAATACAACATTTACTCAGTATTCACTACGCTTTAAAAGATTCGTTCCATTGGTACTGCTTCCAGTCTTCTTCCATTTTCTGTAGTCTTTGTATTCTTAATCTAGACTTAGAATCTTCACGTTGAAGAAATATTTCGCAAGGTATGTTTCTTTAATTTGCTAGTTTCTGTGAATATATCAGTGGAGAATGACTATTGTTTACAGGCAGTTGTTTCCCACTATGCTAATAAAATACAATCCATTTGCATTTCACACCCAAAAATCGGTATAATAGTACACTACAAAGTAAAACAACGCTGAATCAATTAGGTATTGCATTTCACCTATTAGATAGTCCGTATAAAAAGACAAAGAACATTTATTTTTCGGTCGTTAAGGTTTAGTGACTTACAAATGATATCGCTGCTAATTCAAATCACAATTTGGAAGTTATATTACTTGGAATTTTTGCGTCTCACTGATGCGATTTGCTTAAGTTTTTATTGCAATTTTTTATTATTTACAATTTCTAATTACTATATGGCTTTTTTGACTAAGAACTAAGAAAATAAGGTTTTCAAAACCCGGATAGAATCTAAAAAGCTTAGTTTGAATCGGAATGTTGAAAGGAACGTAACATTTGGGCAGCTGAGAGTTATGTTTGGAACGCAAAATTTTCACATTTCACACTTTCAGTTAAAACTTATAAACTGTTGAAACTTCAATACTCGATACACCACTGTTTGTAAATTTTGATTTGAGAAATATTTATTTATTATTAAAAAAATAGTTTGCTTGGTGTGTTTTGTTTTTTCTGTTATTTTGTCACGCATTGTCCATCAAATGCTGATTTTTTTGTTTAGTGGCAAAGTGAGTACTTTAACCAAACAAAATTCTACTACGTATCAATCAAGTAATATGATCTAGAACAATTTTTTATTCCCAGTAAGTATTGATAATTTTTAAGTGCGTAGTTTCTTGTTATTTTGTTTTTTGGTCTAAAAAAGTATCATTCATAATGAATGATACTGTTAGACATGAAAATTATTCACAACAAAAGTGATTTTCTGAAAATTAAATAATATTTCAGTGTTGTAATGAGCAATAATACACATGAATATATGGCAAGAATAATTTTATTGACAACAAAAAAGAGAGTGTGAAAGAGATTATTTTTCCAGCGCTTTGCACATAGAAATGTAAACTATTTGGTAATATCCACTATTATAATGAATAAATATGATTCATGAGAAAACTAGTAAAAATAGCATCTTTATTCATTCACTAATATTCATGGTAGTGATCGTTTTCTTGTTGGGAGGTATATGAATAGTATAGCGTTTGCTACATTTTCATATGTATATATGTTGTGAAAGTTAATTTTGCATGCTGTTTGTTAATGTGATAGTAGCACTAAAAGTATTTACGCTATCTGAAGGTTTGAACAAACATGAGCATAGATAATTGAAAGCGAGATCACCGCACATATTTGAAATAAATTTTTGTGAGGATTCATTTTTCGTTTAATCACGAAACTATGATTTCTTTTTCTTACTCAGAAGCGAAAATTTCAAGCATGCAATCAAATATATTTATTTGATATACCATTTGAATGATTTGATCATACATCAACTCGACATGATTTAATAACATTGAACACGTTTGCAGTTAAACAAGTACCGCTATTATTGTAATATTTGTAATTTCAAGCAATAATTCACATCATTTTCAGTTACACAGTCTGTGACAATACAAATTATAGAGAATTGTACCAAATACGTGTCATATAATGCATTATTTTTCACTTTGACACTATAATATGAACAGACTATTATTTATTATTATTATCATAATATTTTCCAACACATTTTTTCGAATATTTAACTTCATACACTTGAAATTACATACCTTTTTCAATTTCATCAGAACTAAAACATTATCTTAAATGTAGAAAATTAACTCAAAATCAGCCTCTTTGTTTCCTGTGCATTATTATAGGCGCTGCATGCCTTCACTAAATTCCTTATTATATTTTCCAACACATTTTTTCCGAATGTTTAACAACAAATTGGTCAAAGAAAAAACAATCATTAACTTAGAATTTGTAAAATAATTAATTATTATTTAGACAAAATTGAAACGGCGATATGAATCTTAGATCTGGTTCAACTGAATCAGTTTCTGGAAATTTATTCGCTCTTTTTCCAAAAAGTTGCAGAAATGCGCAGTCTACTAAGAGCAGAGATCTGTCATGTAACAACATAAAGTTATCAGGGATTTTGACGATATTTATCCACGCTAAATGCCTATATGAATCTCTAAAATTTCTAAGTCCAGATTGCTTATTATACTGAATCATATCAATTACATCACAAATTTTGACGCTAGATAGTACTCGTAAAGATAGAAAATATTAAAAAATTCATGAACACAGATATTGTTAGCGATTTTGTTTTCAGAGAAAAACGAATTTTAAAAGCAAGATATTCCAGCTGCAAAACTTATGTAAAGAATTACTGCCTACAATATCTACTTTCGAAAGCCTGTTGACTTGTTTAGAAAACGATCTTGTAATAGCGAGCAAGAAGAGAAAGTTTGCGACCCAAAACAGTACACGACATGAAGTAATGAAGTATTCAACGAAATATTGAACAATGTTGCTGCGACAGGTAACATGACCTCACGAGACGAGAGACAATGTTGACACTTGCAAGAGTTGAGCAGGAAGCACATTATATTGTAGGGAGCATGTGAAGAGATTCAACATCTATCTATGCAATGCAAGAAAACGCTGAAAGTTGAAAGTACAACCAGGTGCCACTTCTATTTTCGGTAGTTACGCCGGATTGTACTCACAAAAATAAATCTCACGTCTAATTCATTATCATTTTATTATATGTTTCATTCTATTATTAGTTAGGCTTCACCGAGTTATATTGTTGCTTATTTTAAGCGTTTTAGTTGGTAAGTGAAGAATAAAAAAAAGAAAACAGTATTTGAATTTACTGTAAACAATGGTCTTGGCCGTTTTGGTAAGATGTTAAAAGAAGATGGTTTTTGTATTGTTCCCTGTATTGCGAGAAGTTCGTGAGTATGATTATCTATGAAATGGAAAACAATATGAGATTTCAAGTGTATTACAAGAATATGAAGTTAAATATTCGAAAGAAATGTATTGGAAAGTGTAATAAGGAATTTGTTGAAGATAGGCAGTACCTATTATTACAGTGTATAGTGCACATTTCAGCGGAATTTTTGTTAATTTTTGACATCTATAATAATGTTTCAAAAATTAAAAAGTTAAAAAAATGTTGTAATTCAAGTATATTGCAAGTACATAAAGTATAAATTTCGGAAAAAATGTGTTGGAAAATACAATATTATAATAGTTTAAGGTGTCAGTCTTATTATATTGTACAGGACATCAAGCTACCACCGCATTTTGTGCTGATTTTCGATACTGTAAAAGATGTATTAGAAATTGTTGTATAGGATATTATGTTTGCTAAGAATATGTTTTGTCACAGTACTGCAAAAATTATTTGAGTAATATTGCTCGTAGAAATGTTTACGACCTTTTGTGCACCAAAACTATCTTTTCTACAACTATCATCTCTAAAAGCTTTAATAAAGCTTTTAGAAATGTGCAGGACATTTTTCCTGCCAATATTTTGTGATTTCTCGTATTTCCGTAAGTGCAGCGCAAATTGAGTCAGTATTTCTGATCAAGTCCAGACATGTATCTTGTTGGTAGCGCCACTATCAATAAAGTAAATGAAACGTTCACTGTGTTTTTTTTCTGTGCTTTAATGCTATTATTTTAGTATACCGCCATATTTGTAGCAAGATTGTCGAGGATTATGATATTTATAAAATTTATTCAATGATTAGTGTAATTATATGATTACATTTGTAATGAAGAGTAATCAGTGTTTGCATTCAGCCCTTTTACAGATGCAATAGTTATCTAATTAATTAAATACGTAATTCATTGTGTAAATAGTATAAATGGTAATTGTTGCATTGCAGTCAAATGACCAGTGCTATGAGTGGTAATGTTTTGAATTTGAGTAATTCGATCTTAGTCTCTTGTTTTTGTAATTCATAGATTTTCTGTAAGCTAACACATTTAGCTAATGTCGTTTGGAAGATTAAAAGTGTGTTGCTAGGGAGTGTCAGTAATATTACTTGTTTTTTTTTGTTAATGAACTTTGCTTCATTGTCTTCAACTTATTCAATTCAATTTTTTTCACAATGTTCCGATGTGCTCAATAATTTTATTCATTCATTCATTTTCCTGTCTGCTTTTAAAGCAAATTTTTTGCGTTATCTATTTATTCTTGATATATAATTTGGTATTTACTCAGACGCCCAGTAAGAGCTGAGATTTAACACTTTTTTTATAGAGTATAGTCTTTTGCTTGATTTTTACTTAGCGTCTCATGAAAATGAGTTATGCATTCAAATGCAAAACACACTGTATTTGATTTTATGTGTTCAGCGAGATAGCTACTGTAAAATGTTAATCGTTCGCGGTGATCGGAGTGCTAATAACCTTGGCATAAATCTTTTTTTTTTCCATTTCATAGGTGTTCGGAATTTCTTTCAAAGCAGTTTGCGTGCTCTAATTTCTTGCAAACAGTATAAGCAATGCATGCGCAACTTTTGTCTAACATGGTTAGTTTAATCTTTTCTCAATGTAGCATTTCATTATAAAATAATAGATTTTGATGCTTATGAATCAATCAGTGAACTTAATTTATTCAAGAATCAGCTATTTCACCAAAACTGATCAACTCTTAGCTCTCAGTGTTGATCAGCCATACTTATTTTATTTTCGAGTTTTACAGTGAAGCATTTCTGATTGATTCTATAGCATTATATCAGCTTATTTGGATATTAAACCACTAAGACTAAAACTAATTTTTTCATTTGATATAAAAATTTGAGAAACACTTTAATGTTTATTTTCTATTTTATTATTCGTAGTTGCAAATGACAATTAAACATTTCTCAGTCAATATTTCATGCTGTTTTAGCTTACTTACTGCAAAGCTGCAATTATGAAAATACTATTATAGCTTTTCTTTGTTAAAAATTTATTGTTATGGCAAAAGTATGACTGTCACTTCAGTTAAAATTCGATTAATAACATCATGCAACAATTTAATTATGTTCATATCTATTTTTTTTTGTTTGTACTGCTAATTGACTTATTTATGTACAAATATGCACAAATAACATCACATTAAGTTTTTATACTCTGACGTACTTTTACATTATAATAAATAGAGCACTGAAAGAAATCTCAGCGTTGCTTGAAGAAAAGTTTTGAGAGAAAAATGTTTTCAAAAAATTCTTATTAATAATATTTGTGCAAATACATTTACATTTTTTCAAATAATTTTAAGGCATTAATTTCATCTGTTAATCACTAATGCTATAAGATATTATTAATTTATGAACCTGAATTTTGAATTATTTTCAAAAAGCTGTATTTTATAGGCAGAAATGAATAAATTTTTGGATGAAGCAGATAAAAAACTGGCTGTCATTGACTTTTTTGCACCTTGGTGTGGCCCTTGTAAAATCATGGGACCAAGATTTGAAGTTTGCTTTAAAATTTTTTGACGACAAAATAATTTGATTGAAATTGCGTCGATAATTGAATATCTGAGAATGAAATAGGCAGTTAATTTGATTAAAATGCACTCTTTTTACTGTGCTAAAATAAATTTGAACACAATTGCAATAATTATTACTTATTTGTCGTGAAACATTCATTCTATCAGTTAATATTATCTATTTTAAAGTTTTCAATTTTTTAGTTGATGAAAATTTAATTATTGAAATTTTAGAAATTATCGGAAGAATTTGACGACGAAATAATTTGCGCCAAAGTTAATGTTGATGAAAGTGTAAATTTTTTTTTATTAATATCATGTGGAAATATTAAATTTTTATAAATTGAATAAACAAACTTGCTTATTATTTGTTGTTATTTAGGAAGATATAGCCAATCAGTACAATATAAATGTCATGCCGACATTTATTTTCATACGAAATAAATCTATCGTTGTAAGTGTTTTATCATCTAATTTTTATTAAATATAAAGCAAATTCTAATTAATTTTTGCCATTTGTTTTCTAACAGTGATGCAATGAAATGTGAATATATTAAAAAAATGCTTCATAATAATAATTATAAATTATTTTTAGTGTCGTATAGAAGGCAGCAATCCAAACGCCCTCAGACAGGCAATCATGAAAAATAAATGATAAATTATAATATTTATGCTCCACTGCATGATTTAACGTTTAATTATTTTAGAAAATGAATTCAAAAAACCATGTCGAGTTTAATGTGTTGTGTTTGTGTTTTATAAATTTAGTGTTATAGAGATAAATAAAATTAAGCCAGTCTTTTTTATCAAAATTCATGCACACTTCATCAGTATTTTCCATTTTTGTTACTATAATTACAGAAGCAGTAATTCTAATTTTAGTACTTTTTGAAACTTTTATTTTTAATTTATGACTGCAAGAATGTCGACTGTCTCTTCTGCAATTTCAGAAAGTAAATGACAATGATACACACATTTATTAATAAGTATAATATAGCTTTCGCATCAGTCTTAATGCCTTAAACATGCAAAAAAATTGGACACTGCTAGAGTTATTCCTCAAAGTAGAAAATGTATCTAAATTTATGAAAAAATACTGCAGAAAATATCAACCGTTGAAAAATTATTGGCATCAGAGATATTTCGAATGATGCTTCATTGTTTCTCGACTACTTGATCACTGTTTAGGACTTCATTTTGCGAATTCATCAAAGTATTTCCTATTCGAGACTTTGTACGCATTCTTAGCAAGCTATTCTCAGCTACAGCAGCCCGTTCTTCTGCATTTTCTAACTGCATTAGCAGTTCTCGATACTTCTGTTGATTTGACAATACAAGATTGCTCTGAAATAAAAAAGATGTACTCTAAAAAATAGCTTTTACTATCACGTTTTAAAAATTAAACATGCAAAAAATAGTGATTTGAAAATTAATGAATAAGTAAAATTACGATCTAAATTATAAAATATAACTTGATTCATTGGCCAATGATGTCAAAAAAATTAATAAGTAAATAACATTAAAGTAATTATATTCAAAATGTTTAGGTCTTCGTGTCAATTACTGATCTAAGACTATCATATTAATTAATGTTTCAAGATCATAATTTGGTTGGCAATTAGCTTAAGAGCTATTTTAAATTCCATGCTTCGTTTTTTTTCGCTGCTTTTATTTTCTGCTCTTAGCAATTTTTAAAATTTCTATAACCTTACTGAATTTTTTTAACTTTTCCACTACTTCATTTCTTTCGTAATTTCATAGACAAAATTCAATTTAATTTTAAATTACATTGGAATACAATTTATTTACTAAAGATAGCAAGCATTACAAGCAATAATTAGCTGATTCGTTTCATTCTCATTTTTTGAAATGAAAAAAATAAAAGTGTCGAGTTGCATGATCAAAAATTGGAAAATTAAATCAAAATATAAATTAAAATATACATGAAATAACAAACATTTTCATCAAGATGAATTTTTTGAGCTTTTAAACTTTTTTGCAATTTATTCATTAATTCATCAAGACGTGTAAAAGCCTTCTGATCTTCGTCAAGTTGGAGTTTGATTTCTCGAGATCGTCTCGAATTTTTATGGAATAATCGCGTAGCATCTTGTGCTTGACTGCACTCTTTATCCACTTCCTGCTGCAGTATCTTAATCCGTTTTTCTTCCTCAGCTATCATACGTTGAATACCTTAAATATTCATGTTCGTACAATAGCATCGCAAATTAGCATGAGCAATCGAGATATTTTAGTGAATAACTTTTTTTTGTGAAGCAAAAAATAAATTCATTCCAAACAATTTAATAGAATTGTAATGTTTTCAGTAGGCAAAAAATGTGAGAATTGAAGTAATAAATGGAATTTATTTACTAAGCTTTGTTATCACATTTCAATTAAGCAAATAAGGAATCAAGTAAAATTAGTGATGTCATGCAAATTTTATTAATTTGATTCTGTTGTTTTGCTATAAGTGTGTGATTAATTTAACAAATGTAGCATTAAAATGGCTATATTTTGAACTGATTTATTTACTAATTATTTAGTCAATAATCTGATGCAATTTGAGATGATAGGTTACTGTAAAGTTCCAAATCATACATCAAAAAACAAAGAAATAGGATACTGTTTTCATTGAAAATGAGGCGAAATAAATATATAGATATTGTGAATGAAAATTTTTCGTTTCATATTTAAATTAAATGAATATGTCATAACATCAAAATAAGCAAGAAATGAATTATATTCGAGCTACTCCGATATTTATTTCATTTTTCAAGAGAATAATAAAAATATTTGATAAAATCAACTCCAAATAAAATCAATAATTAATTAAAAAGTAAAAGATACCTTTACGTGCAGCCATTTCTGTGTCCTCTAGTTTTGCTTTTGTTGCTTTTAGCGTCAATTCGAGACCTTTGGAAAGACGTTCAATGTGCTGTGCATGTTCACGTTCTTGACTGACTTCTTCAGTTAACCGAACTGAATCTGCGCTTGCCTTCGAATTACACTCATCCATCGCTTTCAGCTGCTTTAATACTTCTTGAACATCATCCTAAAAAATTACCCTTTCAAGCTTTAAATACGAATTATTTCCAAGCCATTTTTATGCAGTTAATTATTATAAAGCATAAACATGCCTATTTTTGGTACCATGAACAATAAGAAATATAAAATGTATAATTTTTCGTATTGTTTATGGCTTTGTTTGCAACTTAATAATTTTATGATGTCGTATATGTAGCATTCTTGTACTCAATTAGATTTCTATTATTCATTTTTTAAATTGCTCTGTTAAAATAAAATTTTTTTCGATGTTATGAATAAATTGAAGATTAAATTATAATTTTAAAATAAAAATTTACTCTGGCTATTTGAATTTCTCCTTCTAGCTTCCGTTTAACTGAGGTCAAAGTGCTATTTTTAGAAGCTAATTCTTTGATTTTCTCACAACATTCTTTCCAGTCATTGTTGTGCTGATTCACTGCTCGTTCAAGCTTTAATTTGAAAAGTTATTATTTTATAAATTATTTATTATGTTATCCTTTAAAAGATAAGAATTAAAATGCAAAACTGAAGCAATAATTATATGTGAAAAAGTTCAAACCTTCATAATACTTGTCGTAATTTCTTCATTTTCGGAGTTTATAACAGCGATTCTTTTTTCAGTTGAAATTTGATTACTAGAAAATCCTTGTCGAGTTTGTTGTTCTTCTTCTAATTGTTTTTGAAGATTTTTGATAAGTTCTATGTAACGTTTAATACTTTTTTGCATATCCACATTTACCCGACTTGCTTGATCCAATTCTATCTCCAATTCCTGAATTTAAAAAGGAAAAAATTAATTACAGTGAAATGAATAAGCAAGTTTGGCTTTAGATCAACGTCTTAAAACTACTGTCAAAGTGAATTATTATGTAATAAGTAAGTATTCAAATGAAATTTCATTCTGGTTAGAGTATTTCAATTTTCAGTGAAAATTGTTACCAATTCTAAAAACAGATGAATTTACTTACCAGAACTAATAAACTTACAAAAAATGTATCATTTTTTATAAAATAAAATAATTAAAATCATTAAACATACATTAATATTCATTTCATGTTGTTTCTTCTGATTTAACAATTCAGCTTTTGACTTCCTTTCAATATCAAGTGAAGTCTGCAATACTTTTCCTTCTCTTTAAAATTTTTTGATTTTAATCAAATTATCGGAAGAGGAATATAGAATCAGTAGTTTGTTACTATAAAAAAAGTGCTGTTATCAGTCTCAATATTAATAATTATCGAATAGCATTCATACCAAATAATTTTCATAACTTTCTATTTTCTAATTGGTTAACACATAGTGCTGAAAAGTTTTAATTTATATTTAAATCAAATAAACCGCACAAATTTCACTTAATTTAATTACTTTTATTAATAATCTGATAAAAAGCGATTTATCCTACATTGCACTGATATCGTCATTTAAAAAAACTTGCCAGCAGCATTGTTTGCTATGACAATCATACTTTGCTACCACAAGAAAACTCCATTTTTTGTGAAGAAAATACTTGAAAGAAACAATATTTTTGCTCAAAATTGCAATTTACGAAGAGAATTATATAGCATGGAACAAATTGTTGAAGATGTGAAAATTACTTGAAGTGATTCTGTAGCATGTTCATGATTGCGCTGAATCAAATTAAATTCCTCTTCCCTGCTTTGAAACTGCTTCTCTAAATCAAGTTTACACTGCTCCTTATCATTTTGTAATTTTGTAACTTTTGTAGCTTCCATATGCAAAGAATCTTCACTTTCAGTTAACGCTTGTTGCAGTTCTTCTTTTTCGATTTTCAGTTTGTGGATTAACTTTTGCATTTCATGAAATGTTCTTGCACCATTGTCATACTGATCTTTCAATATTTTCAATTCTTGAATGAGTGTTTTGTTTTCACGTTTTGATAATTCCACTTGCTCTTCAAATCCTTCATTTGTTGATTGCAATTTAAATAAATTGCTACTTACGTTTCTTTTATCACGTAGAATAGCATTAACTTCACAGCGTATATTGTTAACATTTTGCTTGAATATTTGAATTTCACGATTACTTTCTGCTTGCTTCCGTTCTAAATTTGTTGCTGTTGCCATATGAAGTTGACATTCTACACGTGTTGCTTCAATATCATTCGTAAGATGATTTTTTAACTTTTCAATAGCTGTTATCTTGGAATTTGTTGCATCCAATGATTCGTGCAGTTGTATTATTTGCATTTGCTGTTTTTGCTTCAGTTCATCTAACTCACTTACTTCGATTAATTCTGCTCCTTCAACTCGTTCATGCCACTGCTGTACTTCAGCGTTTTTTTTGCTAAGAATTCGTCTTAACTCTACTTTTTCTGATTCTTCTGATTCAATACTGTCATTTAATTGCTTAATATCATAGTTTAAAGATTTAGCAATTAAATCTAACGATGACCGTTCTTTAGCACCCTCTTCCAATCTTTTTCGTAAATCCTGCAAATGATTGTCATGCTGTGCTTTTGACAATTGCATATTTGTAATTTGCATTTGTAAGTCGTCAATTTGTTGTTGCAGACGTGCATTTTCATTTGCAATACGACTTTTTTGAAATGTCAGTTCCTGAATCTGCAAATGAATTATTTCATTTCAAATATTTTTGAAAAAAGCATTAATCAGTGAATTATTGACAAACTACGTTGATCTGCCACTAGTAATACAAAATTTCTGATCAAATTCAAAAAGTATGTTTGAAATAATTAGATAGTATGTACACATTAACTGCACATTAATCGTAATTAACTCATTAATAACAAATTTAATCTAATTAAATTGGAAAAATTAATTGCTCTTGATGATAACTCTACAAAAATAAATAAATAAGCAAATACCTTTTTCATTTGGTCATCCCATTTTTTCTTTAATTCAGTAATTTGAATATGGGTCATTTTAAGTAAACGTTCCTGCTCAAGTTTACGTTTTCGTTCTCCGTCTAATATTTCATTTATACGTTCTTTTTCACTGCTCATTTCTTCACATTCTTTATCAATGTTTGTTTTTTCCACACGTAATCGTTCTAAATCACTATTTTGTACAGTTACTTTTTGCATATTTTCCATCCTAAAATTGGCAAGCATATTTTCCTGACTAATATTAAATTCCTCCAATTCCTGACGCAATCTTATAATTTCTAGCTCTTTTTTCTTATTCATTTGAATTTGAGCATCCATCATGCCCATATGGTCTTGCAAATGCTCTGAAACTTCCGTTATTTCACGTTGAAGATCACATTGTAATCGATCTGATTTTTGTCTTGTTTGATATTCACTCTCAATTTCTTCTTCAAGATCTTGAATGCGTATGTTGCTAATTTTTGTTTGCTTATAAATATGACTTGTAAATGCTTCTTGTTCTTCAATTTTCACTCCTGTAATACCCTAAATTAATAAATCACTGAAACTGAGACATTTTCATCACATTTAAAATTTGACAAGTTATCCAATAAGATTATCCGAAATTCAGAATTGTTTTCAATTCTTTTAGGAAAAAAATAAACTTAAATTAGTTGAAAAGTAAGATAAACCTAAATCTCGTATAATTATTTCAGCCTGTTGAATCTTTCTTTCCAGTTCTCCTTTTGCTTTGTTTAATTCTTCAAGTTGTTCCTCAATAAGTTTTAATTCTCCTTCGCTTTTACGTTTATATTTTTCTTTTTGCAAGCGATTTCGATGTTCACGTTCAATACGGTCTTCTACTTCATCAATTGCTCGTTCTAACTTACTTTTTTCTCGATTACTTTGTAATATACGACTTTCTTGTGTCTAAAAATTAGCTCTCATCAATTTGTATAAAATTGTAAATTTGACTCATGGCAGTGCTGATCAAATTTTAAATGATAATTGTAATGAAATTTGATCAGATCATAAAAGTTATTTCAATGATGATAACGTTGCTGAAAAATAACTGCCTGTAAGTCCTGATCCATTTGTCGGCACTGATCTTCTTGTCGTCTTTTTTCCTTGTTGAGCTTAGCAATTACTTCGTCTTGATGGTTTAATTCATCACGGAGTGAATTAATTTGTTCTTCTTTTGATTTTCGCTCATTTTCTGACTGTTCTAGCAGTTCGTTTAAGCTTCCCAAATTACTGCGCGCATTATCATAATTTAATTGTGCATTTTGTTTAAGTGTCTGCGCCTAAAAAATGTGAAACAAATGCATCTATCTCGGAACGATAAGTTTTATTTAAACCTTGCATACTACAAAATTTGAAGTGATCAAAAAACAATATTTGGGAATTATTTGACTGCTAATAATTTAATGACATATACATTAATCAGGAAAATAATGCGACAAATATAAATTTATTAGAGCAAGCAGTGAATTACTCACATTATTATTAGTAGGTTATCATTACTATTATTATAAAAAGTAAGTTATTATTAGATAATAAATCTGAAAATAATTAAGTAATAAAAGTATATATATAATGTGTTCTTTTACTATTTAATTAATCTTTTTTTTCTATTAATTACACATATATATATATATATATATATATATAT